GCTGCTGGGCTCCATTCAGGCCTAGCCTCTGCCTGGCTCAGGCAAGTGCTGCAGTTCTATTGGTTCCACCATTAAGTGTCCAGAGGTACCCCACTACACAAGCAAGCTTCCTGCATGAAGATACTTAACTCTCTTGCTCTGTGGGCTGGGATGGCCACTGTGTCATCTCCTGCTAGTCTCCTGGCTCTGCTGCCTCTGCTGCTACCATTTCTCTGCCATGGATTCTCGCTATCTCTAATGATACAGCTGTCTCCTGGGTCTGGGAGGTTCCTAGCACAGGGACCCTGAATCCAAAGGACAAGCTCCACTTCCATTTCTTTTTCTTGGTGGCTGTGAGGTCCCCCTTTCCAGCTCTGGGATGGGTGGGAAAAGCCTAGCTGGGTGGAAAAACTGACCAATCCCCTTGTTAGGGTTCCATAAACCTTATTTGCATGCTTCTACCTCCACAGGGTGGAGGTTCCATGCATCTTATTTGAATTATTAGCAAACTGTCCATTCCCCTTGGTGGGCCACAAATACCTTATTTGCACAGTCCTACCCAATCATTAGCATAGTGGCTAAGACACTTGCCTGCTAACCAGATGGCTGGAGGTTCAAACCCACCAGCCACTCCTCGGAAGGAAGGTTGGGCAATCCTACTTCCGTAGTGATACTGCCTCGGAAACCCAAGGAGGGGTCGCTATGAGTTGGGTTTGACTCGAGGGCACATAACAACAACAACAACAACCCAATCATTTGGTGGGTGTTACAAGACCATGGCTAGGAAGGCCACATGAAAGCAATCCATCACACTGCAATGATGCGGGACCAGGCATTATTTTGTTCTATCATATGTAGGGTTGCTATGAGTAGCAACCAACTTGACAGCATCTGACAACAACAGATTTAGTGGTGGGATGATGAAGCAGGACTCGTTTGCTTCTGTCCTCTCAACAAAGACTGAGCTAAGACCATAAATGAAGGTGAGAGGGAGGATGTTGGAGGTTGAGGGAGATGAGAAGGTATGACAGTCATTTTGGAGTGTGGGAGAGTAAACCTGTCAGGAGCACACTGTAGGCTCTCAGGCAGTGTTGTTTACCCGTTTGAGTTTTGTAGACATGAATTTAAAGTGAGACCAGTCACCAGTGACCATGATTCATAAACATGCAGGAATGAATAGTGCTTGTTAAAGATAGTGGTGCCCTTTAGTAATTGTTCATGAATAAATAAACAAGTAAGTGAAGTATTATATAAACATTTGGTAGGAGAGGAGGAAGGGAAATAATGTGTATCTGTCATCTTATAGCTTACTTTAAGGAGACAAAAGATAATTGAGAACAAAGCCATATTTCAACAACTACATACATACTAGCTTCTCAAGTTCAAGTTACAAATGCTGAAATATTATTATGCAAAGTATTAAGGAGCTCTGGTGGTACAGTGGATAAGGCATTTGACTGCTAATGAGAAGGTTGGTGGTTCAAAGCCACCAGCTGCTCTGTGGATGGAAGATGGGGCAATCTACCTTCATAAAGATTTACAGTGTCAGGAACCCAGTGGGGGTCACTATGAGTTGGAATCAACTTGATGGCAATGAGTTGTTTTTTTTTTTTTTTTTGGTATACTGAAAATAGGATGGAGCTAATTTGGGAATGAATTCCTGAAGTTAAGTTTCAGATCAGATCTCAAAAATTACCTGACCATATGTTAACAAAAAGCAGAGGTAATGTGGGCTCAAGACCATGGTAACGGGGGGCATCAAGCTCAATCGGCATAACATACTACACGAAAACATAGTTCTACATCCTACTTTGGTAAGTGGTGACTGGAGTCTTAAAAAGCATGCAAGTGGTCATCTAGATGCAACAATTGGTCTCTCTTCAATTGAAACAAAGAAGTATGAAGAAAACCAAAGATGCACTAGACCAAGGAACTGGTGGACCATGTGAACCTCAGCCTATATGATCATGAAACCAAAAGAACTAGATGGTGCCTGTGTTAGGCTGGGTTCTCTAGAGAAACAAAACCAGTAAAGCTTTTACATATAGAGAAAGAGAAATTTATGTTAGGAAAATGGCTCACACACTTACAGAAGCTGGCAAGTCCTAAGTTCTTGGGTCAAACATCAAGATGGAGGCTTTTCCCTACTCACGCATCTGCAGGGGCTGATGAGCTCAAGGCTGGCAGGCAGTATACCAGCTATTGGCTCCAATGAATGACAAATCCAAGATCTCCAGGCTGAATGGGGGATTGTTCGCTCACGGACAATTGTAGGCAACACAACAGGATCCCGATCCTCAGAAGAGTGTCTCTTTCCCAGTATGTCCATAAATATATTGGAAGCAGGCCACATTCTTAGGGGAACTCCCTTTCAGTGGATTGGCTGCTCAAAATATACATCCGATCTATCATGGGAATAACCCACATCACAATTGCTTAAACCACACAGAATTGTGGTCCAGCCAAGTTGACACATAGCTCCAACTATCACAGTGCTTGACTACCAATGTCAACCACCTGGAAAGGGATCTGGGCAGGAGATCCTGGGTAGAGTAGAACAATGTGGAACAAAACGCAAAATCATATAGACCAGGCTTATGGGTCTGATAGAACCTAGTGAAACCCCTAAGACTTTGGCCCCTAGTTACCCTTCAGGCCTGAAATTGAGCTCATTCCTATGGCTTCCAGCCAAACAATAAACAGGCATATAGGGTGAACATTTGCACCAGGTAGATACACTCCTTGGAATGATCAATCATGGGAGAACAGAAGGGCAGTATTTGCACAGGGAGCAAGACAGGACACAGGGAAGAGGTAACTATAGGGAGGAAGTGGGAAGAGAGTATTATGTTGTAGGGAATTGCAGTCAATGTCGTGAAACAAAATGTGTACAAACTGCTGTATGGAAAATGAATTTGCTCTGTAAACTTTTACTCAAATCACAATAATAATAATAATAATAATAAAGCAAGCAGAAGTAAAAGGGTTTGAAAAATGTTAGAAGTTAATGAGCAGGATGGGTATGATGAGCTATGTTGTATGCAGTATTGAATAAATGAATGAATGAATAAAGCTTGAAAGCAGAAGTGATAATAATTACTCGAGTTAAGAAGTGACTTCTTTATGCTAAGCACTAACAGGTTGCTCATCTGACAGTGATTAAGCACCTGCGTTGTGCCCATATAATATTTATGATATTCACTACAACCCTAAAAATAATATAGTTAATTCTTAAATTATTAAAATTCCCTATCATAGATGAGATTGAGACTCAGCAGTTCAGTAACTTGGCCAGGGTTGTAGTTAATAGGGAGGTGAGGTAGGCTTTGAAGCCAGGTCACTGTCTAGGCCTCTGTCTAGCACTTGCAAAGTTCCACCTACTGTAAATGTTCTCACTACTAACCCCTTTACATCCTTTAGATTTCAGCTTAAACATCACTTCATTGGAGAGACCTCCTTGGCTATTCTAAAATAGATCCCTGGTATTCTCTGTGTCAGCCATTTCTCCTCCTAATGTTTATTGAATTTTGCCATCATTTTGTCAGTATCCGTGTCTTTCCCTTGTAAGCCCCAAGAGACTAGAGTCATGTTTTCCTTTGATTCCCCAGAGCTATTTCTATTCAATACAACAGCCACTAGCCACATGTGGCTTGAGTGCTGCAAATACAGCTGGTCTAATGGAGATAGATGTGTGATAAATGTAAAATAACACACCAGATTTCCAAGACTTAGTATGAAGAGAAAAAAAAAAAAAGTAAAATATATCATTAATATTTTTATGTTGATTACACGTTGGAATATTTTTGACATACTGTTAAAATTAATTCCACCTGTACTTTTTGGAAAAAACTTAGTGAGTGAAGTAACCCATGTTAAGGGCTAAACCAAATGAATGGGTGAGTGAAGAGGTACGGTGTGTGCTTTCCATTAGCAAAATGGATACAGCATTGTCCCAGAAGTCAAGATATCTGAGTTCTGGTCCAGGATTTGTGTAAACACTTTGTAGCCTGAGGCCAGCCCTTCCCCACTCTGGGCAGCATTTTTTTATTTTATTTTATTTATTTATTTATTTTTATTAGGATTTGGGTGAAGATTTACAGAGTAAATTCACTTTTCATACAGCAGTTCACTTACACTTTGTCTCATTGTCATTGACCAAAATTTACAATGCAGCAGCTCCCCTCCCACTTCCTCCCCATAGTTACCTCCTCCCAGTGTCCATCCCTTCATACTCTTCTGCACCCTGAGAGGCCCATTGTCTGCCAACCCTGTATATGATCTTGGATACACTCTCCATTTAGACATACATAATTGTTTAGCTTGTTCACCCATCTATCCGTCCCTATACCCATGTTTGCTTTCATTGACAACTCAGTATTGTATTTGCAAAGGGGTTCATATTTGTTGTTTGTACTGCCCATGTAACTCTCTCTGTCTTTCTCATCCTCAATGCTGCCATATTGGTCACTCACATTTGGTACATTGTCTGGGCGGCATTTTGCCATTCAGTTGTTGTCTCTGAGATCTGGAAGTTTATGAGAGTTGTGGCGGAGAAATGTGAGGAAGTCTGGTACAACGAACTTGTCTTGTTTTGCTGTAGCTTCAAGACTTGAGTTTCTATCCACGAGAGGCAGCGGGAACCGCATACAACCGCGAACCAAGTGCCCGGACAGCCGGCTTCCTTGGCCCTACGTCACTGGGGCGCGACGGCATTGTCAGTACTGTCCATGGGGCGGTAACGGCTCAGAAGGTCCCTTCGATGAAGGCGAGTTCCGGGCCAACAGAGGACCAAACAGTTCCTGTTTGCTTCTTTGAGGCTCAGTTTTCAATAAATCGTACTCCCTCTTACTTCACCCTTACCGCACGGGACCTCGGGGAAAACTCCGGACAGCCTAGGAAGTATGAGCTCCACTCAGTGTCCAAAGCCGAGTCTCAACGCGGCTGCGCAGGGCACGTGCGCGTCCTACCCGGAGTCCCGGCGATTGGCTGTGATGTAACTTCCGGTGTGAGCGGCGAAAGCCGGGAGGGCGAGCGAGAGAGTGAGCAGGCTGCAGGCGGGAGGGCGGACGGTACGGAGGGAAGGTGCGAGCGAGCAGTGAGTGAGCCAGCGAGAGCAGTGGTGTCCCGAGGGCAGCCGAGATTCCACCCGCCTCTCTGGCCCCCTCCCCGGAGCCCCCAGAGCCTCCGGTCTTCAGCGGAGCGGACACGGCCCTGCCTGGCAATGGCCTCGTTGCTGAAGGTGGATCAGGAAGTGAAGCTCAAGGTAGCGGCACCGGTCCGAACCTCCGCACCCCTTGCTTCGCTCTCTCAGCAGTCTGACCGACTCCCTACACCCAGGGCGTCTTTGTTTCCCGGGGGACACCAGCTCTGAGCTTCCGCTTGGCTCAGCCCAGCCCCAAATTCCCGGAGACAGATCGGGGGGGGAGGATAATATAGGGTGGCCTTTAGTACCCGTCTGTGATGGGGAGCTCCTGGGAGACCTTGGTGGACACGTGCTGGCCTCAGTGCTTTAGCCCAGTGACAGCTGGAAATTCCCCAGCCCCGCACGGTCCCCGCCCCCGGACGCTGCTGCTGCCCCTGCCCTTGGCGTCAGGCCTACCCCCTATTATAGGCTAGGTCTGAGTGGGGGGTTGGCACGTTTGTGAGCTCACATCCTCTGTCTACCTGTCTTTTGTTCCCGATCAAATCCAGATAGCTGTGGACACCGGGAGGGGGGGAAAGAGGGTGGGTGGGAGGGAAGAAAGACAAAGCGTCGCTTCCTTCTCCTAAAATGGAAAAATGGATCCTCAAAAAAATAAAATATTTGCAGTCTGGGGGTCTCTCAGCTTCTCATTACAATTACAAGGTGAGGGAAAAGCAGGTGGATTTGGGATTCCCCATCCTGACCCCACTCCTCTTGCCAGGTACTAAATGTGCTTTTACTCAATTGCACTCTTTGTTAATTTTAGGTTGATTCTTTCAGGGAGCGGATCACAAGTGAGGTAAGTGAAATAGAAAGATTAGTATGCTGAGAGTTTCCTATAATGGAGAATACCTGTAAAGAGAGACTTTCACAACTACTAATTCAACTGTGTTCCCTCACCTTTAGGCAGAAGACTTGGTGGCAAATTTTTTCCCAAAGAAGTTGTTAGAACTTGATAGTTTTTTGAAGGTGAGAGACCTTTTCTTTCCTCTCTTTCCCCCAGGTGCCCCTATTTTTTTCATTTTTGACTCTGGTCTTTTCTGTTAAATGGAGCAAAGTATGTGTTGATTCTATTTTGTTTTGTACGGTTAAGCACTTCATTTCTTCCCCTTCAAATGAAATACTTCTTTGTTCAGCTTGGAAAGACTAAATTTTTTTGGTGGGGGTGGGCATCTCTCTTTCAGGAACCGATCTTAAACATCCATGACCTAACTCAGATCCACTCAGACATGAATCTCCCAGTCCCTGACCCCATTCTTCTCACCAATAGCCACGATGGACTGGATGGTGTAAGTGTCGTTTTATACTTACCTTTCTACTCTTAAGCAGTAGGTTTTCTGTTTCCTGGTTGATTTGCACGCGTATACAGGGGACAGTGAGATTTGGATCTTGGGACCAGGACTCTGAATCCTGGGGCAGGACAAGTGCAGCACACTCCCTTTAGACTCTGATTTTGATTTTCATCCATAGCATGAAGAGAATGTTCTACTTCTGTAACTCTCAGTGTGTAGGACTAAACTAGTTACAGGTTCTGCCAGGTTAGGTGGTCTGTTCCTGCAGCTCTACACTAGACTTTTCTTACCTCTCTTTCCATGTCATGATAAGTTCTTGCCACTTAACTCCAGTCCCTGTCTTTGCTGTGCTATTTTGTTCTTTAGAACTTCATCCTTATCAGTCATAGTTTATTCTATCGTAACACTAATAAAATTGTATTGTTCTTTGTTTCCATTACTGTCTCATTGCTAGCACTTGAGCTTCTGGAAGGCAGGAACTGTCTTCATCTTTGTATCCTCAGCACCTAGCTTTGTGCCTGGTGTACAGCAGATGCTGTTTGTTGATTGAATATGTGTTCCTTTGTGGAGCCAACAGATCTGTACATATCCCCTTAATTAACCTGAAATTGTATCAATTCCATCGTTTGGTTCCTTTTTTTTTTTTTTTTTTTAATAGTATTCTTCCCACCTCTTGATTGCTTAATGTCTTTTATTTCTTGAAAGGTTGGTCTTCCCAATGGGGGTCTAAGTTGCTTTGTGGCAAGAACCTTTTCTTAAAACTGTATATGTGCTTAGTAAATTGTGCATAAATCGATCAAAACACTTACGGGGTTGATGAAGGGATTAAACTTGCTTGAAGGGTATCTGGGGATGTGGATGTCAAGGGCAGGCTAATTCATGCCCTTTTTGTATCCTTAGCCCACTTATAAGAAGCGAAGGTTGGATGAGTGTGAAGAGGCCTTCCAAGGTAAGAGCCTCCCCCATACCCCTGCTGACCTTCATCCTTGAGAAGCAGGGTAGGTCTGGCACTCTCCTGGCTAGGAAGCAGGGTCTGATTTTATTTCCCAGAGTTAATATTCCTGTGTCCTCCAAATATGGTTATTATTTAGCCCTTAACTTAATTTTCCAGTAAAGCAGGAGGGACTGCCAAGGGAGAGAGACTGTAGATAGAGTGTGCATACCCAGATTTTCATGGAAGTTCCAGTTCCATGTTATTTTTCCCCCTTAAAAAAAAATTGATACATTAAGTTTCTAACATATCTATTTATCTTAATTTCCTTATTCTTAAGGCTTTAGTCATAGTTTAAATACTTGTTTTCTAATCCTTATACTCTCTTTTTGATTCTGATTTTTTGATTAGTGGTGATGTGGTTTGTGGGTAAGGTCGTAACAAAAGGCAGAGGCTGTAGCATCTCATGAGCATGGAGACGGAGAGAGAAAAGTAGAAGATGCCGTGTCCTCCTCCTCACTCCAGTCATTTGACATTCTTCATGTCCCTGCCAGGAACCAAGGTGTTTGTGATGCCCAACGGGATGCTGAAAAGCAACCAACAGCTGGTGGACATTATTGAGAAAGTGAAACCCGAGATCCGGCTGCTGATTGAGAAATGCAACACGGTGAGGCAGAGGCTAGTGACCTGGGGACTGGAGGCATGGAGAAAGGTGTTGGGGGTTGCAGACTAGGTGTCTTGGCTCCTGTTCTCCTGACATCTGGCCCCAGTAACCTGAATCATAGACTTCAGGGATTCAGCAGAAAAGGATAAGGTCCTCATGTATGTGTTTTGGTCCCCCCACCATCCAGGTCAAAATGTGGGTACAACTCCTGATTCCCAGGATAGAAGATGGGAACAACTTTGGGGTATCCATTCAGGTAACATGCTTGCCTTCTTGTACACTGGGAGGAAAGTTTAGGGAGATACTCCCATTTCCCTGGTTTGTCATAGCTGTTCTAAGGTGACATGGGAGTGGCTTTCAACATCCCCCTTTTTTTTTTTCCCCAGGAAGAGACAGTTGCAGAACTAAGGACTGTTGAGAGTGAAGCTGCCTCTTACCTGGACCAGATTTCTAGGTAGGTCTGCTAGGGTGTGGCCCAGGAACTCAGGCCTCTGAAGTGATGGGCACTGTCCAGGGTCTCCTGCAGCTTCCTCTTCTCTCTCTTTCCAGATATTATATTACAAGAGCCAAATTGGTTTCTAAAATAGCTAAATATCCCCATGTGGTAAGTAACAGTTTTGTGGCCTGAGGGAGGAAGTGGTAGGAAAGGGAGGACACTCTGTGTGGCCAGTCAGGCCTTGGGAGACAGCCTTTTCTCCCGGCCCTGCTTGCAGGAGGACTATCGCCGCACCGTGACAGAGATTGACGAGAAAGAGTATATCAGCCTTCGGCTTATCATATCAGAGCTAAGGAATCAATACGTGAGTAGCCCCGATCCCTCCCTGCAGTTGCCCTGGCTTCTCTTAGTTTTGTCAGTAACTTTCTCTGGAGAGTGACCTGTGAGGGTGGTCAAAATGAATAGAACAGATCCTGCTCACACTGAGAACCATGAAGTCACTGAGGGTGTCTAGCTGAGTGTCCCCCTTTCTGCCTGAGTGTCCACCTTTCTGCCTGGAAGAGAGTATACAGGATAGTTGTTAAGAGATAGAGTCGACAGTCTGCCCATGTATGTGACCTTGGGGAAATAGTTTAACATCTCTTACTTCAGTCTCTTCATGTCTAAAATGAGACTTTGTCTATCTCACAAAGTTGGTTCTAAAAAATGTAAGTGAGGTGACACAGTAAAGGCTTTAGGACAATTCTTGGTACATGTTAGGTATGCAGTAAGTGTTAGTTGTTACTGGACACTTACAGTCTTGGAAATTAGTTGAGGGCCCTGGAACCAGCTTTGGGGTCTAGGAAAGGCAGGGCAATCACCCTGAATGCAGTTTCAAGTGAATGAAATTGGGGTTATGCCTGTTGTTGTTGGGGTGGTGGGAGGGGATATGAATGCTTGCTTGGGGATTTGTTGGGGGTGTCTCTTTTTCTTTGTGAGGTGGGGTGGGACAGATGTCTAATTCCCTGATCCCTCTTCTTCCAGGTCACTCTACATGACATGATACTGAAAAATATCGAGAAGATCAAACGGCCCCGGAGCAGCAATGCAGAGACACTGTACTGAGGCCAGGGCCAGGGCCAGGGGACTCTGTGAGTCTGGCTCAAGACCGACATTGCCTTGGTTTGTTACATGACTATCGTGATGGGGAGACTGGCTGGAAGTCGTAATCACACCGCTCTCTGTTTTTAGTTAGAGTCTAATGAAACTCTCGTCTAGTTCTGTGATGTGTTTACCTCTTTTTTCAGGCCTCAGGAACTCTTCTATTTCCTTCCCTAATACCTATACCTGGCCTGTCCTAATTTCTGGAGAACTCCAGGTTTATGTGCACAGGATGTTGGCACAAGCTCACTTGTGCTTTTTCTCTCCCTTCCATGTCTTGGCCTTTGTGTTGTCTTTCTGATAGGTGGTTGGAAGCTGAGAGAACTGGAAGGAAAGTGCTAGGTGTTCTTTAGGAATGAGGTTGAGGGGACAGGCTCATCTCTTCCTGACATAGGTTAGTGTTTCTTACCTTTGTGGGATGTTCAATCCTCCTGGTCACAAGTGCTAACTTAGGGTTTCCCATCTATGTACATCCTGTCTTGAGCCTGATTAGAAGAAACACCTTCAACTTTCAGCCTAGTCCTTTGCTTTTTCAGATATTTTTATGACGAGGACACATATGTGTCACGTATATACACACACACACACACAGACGCACATGCACATGCCTTCCCTGTGCCATTATCAACCCCCGCTTCCCCCCGGGGTCACATACACACATCTTTCTGAAGGAGGTGATAGTTTTCAAGGTCATCATCCACCCAGACAAAAGGCCTGGACCCATTCTCTTTCCTGATATTGTAGCCTCTTGGTATCCAGGGTGAGTTGGAGGAGAACTAAGAGATGAGAAGCAGAGGGCGTGGGGAGGGCCCCCTTCCTCTGTGACTGAGATCCTTTTTGCTGTCCTCACAAAGGCTGGCTTTTGATTCCTTGCTGCCTCTTCCAGGCCAGTTGTAAAGTGGGGCAGGGGAGTCTGCAACTGTGAGTCCCAAAGCTGCTGCTCCTGCTGCACTTTCCCTTTGGGAAATAGTTCCCTTATTTATAGTGTTGTGCTTCCAGGATGGGCAGGTGTGTGAGTGTGTGTATACGTTCATGGACACGAGTGCTTGCACACATTTGTGTGCGCACGAATATCTGCTGAGGCAGTCAAACTGTAGAAGAGTTGCCTCCTATCCCTGGAATTCTCCAGAGATACCATTTATTGTTACAGCTTTTGTGTCACCCCACATCAGCCCCCAGCTTTGTTGTTCTACCACTGCTGGAGAGTTGATACTGCAGTCAGCCTGCCAGTGACTTGCAGTGTCTGTTCCCTACTTTTATTCTTCTGTCTCTGTCTTCCGACCCAGTTGGATTTCTACCTGGGATGCATCAGTTTTACTCGAAATATGCTATAGAGAAGGAGTTAGGACGTTGTCTTCCCATGAATAGTACTCAGTAACAAACCATTGCATTTTAGTTGGGCGGTGCCCCTACCTACCCTCCAGATCCCTTCCAACCTAAAGCCCTGCTCCTCCTACCATGTGTTTCTCAGTTTCCCTTTTTGTTTGTTGGATTGTTTGCCTCCTTTCCTCCTCACCCTCCACTCTTGGATCGTAATGTAAAATTCTTTTACCATGTCAAGAAATTATTAAACTGCAGGTACTTTGACTTCTTTCTAAAGTCACAGACCCTGGTGCGATGCTCTGGTGGCTAGGTCCTTCCCAGGACTCCTGTGCGTGTGCACTAGGACACCCACTTCCACATGCACCTCAGCCACCCTTTTTGACTGTCCTTATGCCAGTTGAGCTTCTCTTTTCTCCGGAATGATGGAAAGACTGAGGCTTTTGGCTACCAAGAGGGAAGGGTGGGCCCTTCCTTTGCGTTCAGGCTGAATTAAATTCTGTGAAAGTTAGTTCTTCCCAGACCTCAGCTGCCTTCTGTTCCGACCCTCACAAGTCCCACCTCTTTTATTCCCTAGTGATATCCGTGAACTGCCAGTAGAGGCTGCTGTAGTTCCATGTGTGGAAAGTGACCTGGTTCAAGGTGCTCCCTACACAGTCTCTTTCTACCATATACCAGTTCTCTCATCAGTGGACAATGTCTTCAGTTTCTTGAGATGCCAGGAACTCCCGGTTCTGATTTTCAAGTTACTTTGAGGGCTGCCTAGGGCCCTAGCTCCCTCTGAAATAAAGTTTTCTCAACTTGCACCTTGCAAGTAGACTGGTTTCCAAGGAGAATCTCATTGTCACAGCAAAGCGTTTTAAGGAGCGTCTGTTCTATTTCCTTTCAGAAATCCATACTGATCTCTAATGTTTTTGAATGCTTGCCCTGTGCCAGGCTCTGCTAAGCACTTCATGTGCATAAATCACATAGAATCGTCAGGATTCTGTGGGGGTGGTTTTTATTATCCCTTCTCTAGATGAGGACGCTGAGCACTCAGGATCAGTAACCCCCGCGATCATGGAGTGTAGGGCCCTGGGACTGGTGTGTAAGTCTGACTGCTTCATCCAGGCCCTCAACCATTCATTCCTTCTCTCTCACTGATGAGAACGAAAAGGACTGAAACTTCAGGTCAAGGGATTGGCATTAGGCAGCAGGCAGAACTCAGTGCTTACTGGTGAGCTGGGCAGTGAGTCCTGAAAATACTGGAATGCAGTGTCTGCCAGGAGGCAGGACAGTGGACAGTTAACAGTGCCTGCACATGGCACACAGGACTTGATAGGCATCTGAGACTTGCATTCTTCCTCAGGCCATTCTGGGTGGAACGTGTTTCGCCTTAATCTAAATATCCTCTAATCTGGTCTGAATGAATGGCAGTCAGTGGTTGGTACTGACCGTGGTACTGTTAGGCACTTAGGGCAGAGAAGAAGCCTATACATGTGGAAGTAGCTCCTTGAGCCAAACCACAGGACAGAAAATTGGAACAGAATTATACAAATCAAGGTCAGAAATTTCCTGTCCAACCCACAGGGTGGAGTTTTTGCCTTTCCTATCCATCCTAGTGAATATAAACCCTGATGTGATGTCAGTGACTGGAAGGAGCCTCTAGTAGGACGCTGGTTTCAGCACTCAGCATCCACCATGAATCTCAAGGTAGTCCTCGTGTTCCTGGCACTGTCCCTCATTACCATCTTCACCCTGGCCTATGTCCTGCTGACCAGCCAAGGTAGCGGCAGCCAGCCTTCCCGCTGCCCCTTGGTATCCCCAAGTGTCCAGCCCTGGACACAGCCCGGCCAGAGCCAGCTGTTTGCAGACCTGAGCCGAGAAGAATTGACTGCTGTGATGAGCTTTCTGACCCAGCAGCTTGGGCCCGGGCTGGTGGATGCAGCCCAGGCCTGGCCCTCGGACAACTGTGTCTTCTCAGTGGAGCTGCAACTGCCCCGCAAGGCGGCAGCCCTGGCTCACCTGGACAGGGGGAGCCCCCCACCTGCCCGGGAGGCCCTGGCCATCGTCTTGTTTGGTGGACAAGCCCAGCCCAACGTGAGTGAGCTGGTGGTGGGGCCGCTGCCCCACCTGTCCTATGTGCGGGATATAACCATGGAGCGCCATGGGGGCCCCCTGCCCTACCACCGACGTCCTATGCTAGCAAATGAGCATGCCCAGATGTGGAAGCACTTGAAAGAGGTGGAGTTTCGCAAGGCACCCATCTTCCTGGCTTCTGTCTTCAACTACAATGGCTCCACATTGACATTCTTGCATGCCACTCCCCGTGGCTTGCGCTCAGGGGACCGTGCTACCTGGATAGGCCTCTACCATAACGTCTCAGGTGCTGGTATTTTCCTTCAACCAGTGGGGCTGGAGCTGCTGCTGGACCATAGGGCTCTGGACCCAGCCCACTGGGCTGTCCAGCAGGTCTTCTACCTTGGACAGTACTATGCAGACTTGAGCCAATTGGAATGGGAGTTTAAGGCTGGTCGGCTGGAAGTGGTTCGGGTTCCTCTACCCTCGCCAAATGGTGCCTCGTCTCTGAGGCCCCGGGGGGTCTCCTCGGCTCCTCTTCCCTCACTTCAGTTCTCACCCCAGGGGTCCCAGTACAGTGTACAAGGGAACCTGGTGATGTCCTCCCTCTGGTCATTTGCCTTTGGCCATGGGGTGTACAGTGGCATGAGGCTTTTTGATATTCGGTTCAAGGGCGAGCGAGTGGCCTATGAAGTCAGTGTCCAAGAGTGTCTGTCTATCTATGGTGGTGAGTCACCCAAGACAATGGTGACCCGATACTTGGATAGCAGCTATGGACTTGGCCGTAACAGCAGGGGCTTGGTGCGGGGGGTGGACTGCCCTTATCAAGCCACGATGCTGGACATCAATGTATTGATAGGCAGAGGGACAGTCCAATTGTTCCCAGGAGCTGTGTGTGTATTTGAGGAGGCCCAGGGACTACCCCTTCGAAGACACCACAATCTGATTGAGAGTCGTTTCTATGGTGGTTTGGCTGGCTCAGCCCTTGTGGTCAGGTCTGTGTCATCTGTGGGCAACTATGACTACATTTGGGATTTTGTGTTGCACCCAAATGGGGCAGTTGAAGGGCGGGTCCATGCCACGGGCTATATCAACACAGCTTTCCTGAGTGGGGGAGAGGAGAGCCTTCTCTTTGGGAATCGTGTTGGGGAACGAGTGCTGGGAACAGTGCACACTCATGCCTTCCATTTCAAGCTGGACCTGGACGTGGCAGGTGAGTGCTGAAGGGATGAGGGTTGAGGGCAGGTGGAAGAGAGTCCCCTAAGTCAAGCCAGAGGTCTTTGGAAGAGATGAGAAGGTGGGGTTCCAGCATCACTGTTTGTGACAGTGGGTAGCAGGGACTGATGAGTGTATTCAAGTGCAGGCATTCTGGAATATTGGGCTACTGGGCATCTGGCAAAAGGTAAAGGTTCTGCTCAGCTCCTCTGACTTGCTGTGATGGTTGTGAAACTAAGTGTAATGGCTGAATTAGCCCTTGCTGCATGCTGGGCCTAAGTGACACCACGGGTGGGTGAAGTGGCCCTATCCTGCAGGGCAGGAGGAGGTGGAACACTGATGGGGCTGGAGTTTGGGATCTCGGGGTTCTTCCTAAGTAATCAGGAAGATTAGCAGCCTTGGGGTGGTGATGGCAGGGACCCAAGCAGAGGTAGAAAGCAGTCTGTCTACAGAGGTGTTCAGGTCAGGGGTGGTTCTGGAGCTGTCCCGGAGATAGAGGTTGCTCCCCAGGATTCCAGACAAATGGGGACATGGGATAGTGGCCCCATGCTCGTCACAGTGAGAGTCATTTGTCTCACATGTCATCACAGGGCTCTGGTGACATGCAGGCGTTCTGTAAGCCTGGTACAAGTGTGGAAGGAGATTTCTCAAGTAAGGCTTGGCGCACAGAGAGGTGCTGCTCCTGACAGCACAGAAGAGAACTGGCTTAGCAAATCAGAATTTTAGACCCAGAAAACAGAACCCTACCAGACCCTCCATTTTCCAGTTGGGGGAAGCCAAGGTGGGCGGGGTCCATGACGGGTCAGGACGGTGACTGTCCAAGCATTATTCACTATGACAGCGTGTCTTATGAAACATTTTCTTAGCCTCTTGACTATAAAGGCACAGGGTGGGGGACTTAGGTAAGAACAAAAATAAAAATGTTCATGATAAGAGTATTAACTAGTTTATTCTTTGACATATTTGAGATAAGATTATTTTCTGATTTGAAACTTCAAGTCAGCATGTTTGTCATTAAAGAGCATTGCCTTGAGAAGTCCCTCTATTGGGATCCTAGTGTGTGCAGCACAGGCTGGTGCTGTGGGGCCAAAAAAAATGCTTTGTGGACATGCGCTGCTCGCCGGAAGGACTAGCTTTAATAGCGCGCCTCCTTGTGCCAGGTGCTTTCGTATGGGTCACACTCTGAGAATCTAACAGTCCACTGAAGATCTTCAGAAAGAGAAAATCAATATGGGCTCAAGCGCTGGGTGAGGAATACAGGTTACGAGTGCAGTGACATTCAGGAGCTCCCAGACAGTTTAAAGATAGAAACCTGCCTGGTTCCAAAAAAGACTGGCCATGGCCCAGCTTGTTGAGAAAGTTGTCTCAGCTGGGAAGGAAGGTACAAGGGACCATGGCAGGGGATTGGGTTTTTCCAGCCCACTTCTCGGAGACGACATCATCATTCCTTACATAGCTATAAGAATATTAATTGTCCTTTGCATGTGGTTTTCCATTTATAGAGCACAGCTGTGTTTGTAACTTGTTGGCCCTTCACAGTATCTGAGGCAGTGGAACAGCATTTATTATGCCCCATATAGAGATGCAGAGAACAAGACTTGGAGAACCAAACTATTGGATCAACGTCTGTTGGGGACCAAAAAACAAAACCAAACTCACTGCCTTCAAGTAGGATCCGATTCATAGCAACTCCTCCTTGGGTTTCTGAGGTAGTATCACTATGGAAGTGGATTGCCCAACCTTCTTCCGAGGAGTGGCTGGTGGGTTTGAACTGCCAGCCTTCTGGTTAGCAGTCAAATGCCTTAGGTGCTACATAGAACTTCCTGCAGTGTTCTCCATCTGCACTGTTTAATATGTTAGCTAACTAACTACATGTGGCTAGTGTGACTTGAGTAATGGAATTTTAAAATTTAATTTTAAAAGTCACAAGTGACTGGTGATTACCATATTGGACAAGGCAGGTTAGAAGACAGCACTTGAATCCAGGCCTCTGCCTCCTAGGACAGGTGCTGTCTGATACGCTGTATTTTGTAGGTCAATGCAGTGGGCATCATGGGGAAGATGAAGGGCTTGTCTGGGTGACCTCAGCTGGTGTGGAACTCCTCTCCCTTTTCTCACCTGGCAGGGCTGCAAAACTGGGTGGTGTCTGAAGATGTGGTGTTTAAACCTGTGGCAGCCCCCTGGAGCCCGCAGCACCAGCTGTACCGCCCACAGCTGACTCGGCAGGTCCTGGACAGGGAGGACCTGACAGCATTCTCCTTGGGAAGCCTCCTTCCCCGTTACCTTTACCTGGCCAGCAACCAGACTAATGCCTGGGGCCACCGGCGTGGATACCGAATCCAGGTCCACAGCCCCCTTGGCGTACATATGCCCCTGGAGAGTGACATGGAGAGGGCCCTCAGCTGGGGGAGGTGAGGAGGGCCCTGGGCAGTGGGTGGTAGGAAAAACTGGCCCCTCCCCCATCGCACCTCTTGGAGACCCATCACTATCCATGCTTAGCTTTCATCCCTCAGATCCAAGTAGATATGGGATGGGAAATGGTGTGACAGAATCTGATCCAAAGAACTACTGGGCTGGTAAAGACCCTTGACGTTGTCTGACACAACCTCCCTCTGACAATTCCTGGTCAGATACCAGCTAGCAGTGACCCGGAGGAAGGAAGAGGAGTCACACAGCAGCAGCATCTACTACCAGAATGACATCTGGACACCCACTCTAGCCTTTGCTGACTTCATCAACAATGAAACCCTCTTAGGAGAGGTTGGTAGCTCTAAGGGCAGAGAAGAGCTCCTTTGCACCCACCCACTATCTTGGCTACCCAGTAGCTGAAGGGAATGAGAGGTTGCCAATTCGCAAATTTAGGGGCCAACGAGTTCTCTGATGAACAACACTGGTCATCTCTCCTAGGATGAGATTAGCCATGGGACACTTTCCACCCTATAGCTCCTCACACAGGTCACCTTGGCATGTTGTGTATGCCTAGGCTGGCAGGCTGTAGAGCCTAGTCGGAGGTGGACTGAGCAGGGCTGAGGCTGGAGGTTTGGGGATTATAACTGCGGTGGGGGACGATTCATTGGGTTTTGCCTACAAAGCCCTCCAGCTCGTCCCTCTCCCTGCAGGACCTGGTGGCTTGGGTTACAGCCAGCTTCTTACACATCCCCCACGCTGAGGATGTCCCCAACACAGTGACTGTGGGGAACAGTGTTGGCTTCTTGCTCCGACCCTATAACTTCTTTGATGAGGACCCCTCCATCTTCTCCCCTGGCAGCATCTACTTTGAAAAGGGCCAGGATGCTGGACGCTGCAGTGTCAACCCTATGGCCTGCATCCCCCACCTGGCAGCCTGTGCCCCAGACCTACCCCCTTTTTCTTACAAAGACCTCTAGCTCGGAGAGTGTGGTGGGACATGGGGGCTGAGGCCTAAGTACCTTCCTCATCTCCACTCCCCATTCACTGCATCCTTAATCAATCCTGCTTCTCTGATACCCACTCTCTTAATGTTCCTTAGGAACCAGCCTCTTCCCAGGTACCACATGTATCACTTTGGTTCATTCCCATTTTCTGTTCATTTTTAAAAACTGATGGATTTATAAAAATAATATTACAATCTTCAAACAAAAATGGCACACATGCTACCACTTGGAAATAATGTTCACTTTTGGTGAGCGTTACACTAGATATTTCTCTATCCATGTATATTCAAATGGCAGACTAGATAAGACATGTAAAATAAGTGATGTGGTATATGCAATTTTAAATAAAAAGTATTATAAGGATTTTACTTGAATTTATTCTCTTAGACTTAGATAATGTTTAGGGCTCTTGCTAAGAAAATTAGCAGAGGAAGAGAGGTGAGAAGAAAAAAAAGACAGACCTGGCCCAGGAATGTCACTGGGGAAGCCAAAGGGGTTGGGAGTAGGGGTTTCCTCTGGAAGGAGAACAATAGTTTGCAGTTACAGGAAGGAGAACATCTGGCCATGGAAAGGTGGGGCCTGGGGGAAACCAGGCTAAGCAGGGACAGGGGTGCTGCTCTGTGCAGCCCCAGCTCCTTGCTGGTGTTGCATTTCGTTTCTGTGCTCAGGCTACCTAACTGCGTTATCTTGAAAATCCACCCCCCTTCCCCAACCCCGGCTCCCTCCTTCAACTTCCAACTCCAGCCCTGACCCAGAAAGCAGAGTCTGACTTGGAGCCTGGAAGACAAAACCATGTAAGGTCTGTGGAAATCACTGCTGCCTGCCTTCAGACCCGCCCCCAGCCCTGGCCCATCCCTCTTCCCCCAGCCTTCCTTGTGCACTTCACAGCCTCCAGTCTCCTAACTCCCAGGAGCCCCAGCCAGCGTCCAGGAGCGCACCAGCATAGAAGCCAAGAGAGACCCTCTCCTGCAGGCCTAGAACCTACATCTCCAACCTGGTTCCAGCCTCTGGTTCACGAGACAATGAACCAGAAGGCCACTCTGGTGCTCCTCGCTCTGGCTGTCATCACCATCTTTGCCTTGGTTTGTGTCTTGTTGGCTGGCAGGGGTGGAGATGGGGGTGAACCCAGTCAGCCTCCTCACTGCCCCTCCGAACCACCCAGTGCCCAGCCTTGGACACAGCCCGGCCAGAGCCAACTGTTTGCGGATCTGAGCCGGGAAGAATTGACTGCTGTGATGAGCTTTCTGACCCAGCAGCTTGGGCCCGGGCTGGTGGATGCAGCCCAGGCCCGGCCCTCGGACAACTGTGTCTTCTCAGTGGAGCTGCAACTGCCCCGCAAGGCGGCAGCCCTGGCTCACCTGGACAGGGGGAGCCCCCCACCTGCCCGGGAGGCCCTGGCCATCGTCTTGTTTGGTGGACAAGCCCAGCCCAACGTGAGTGAGCTGGTGGTGGGGCCGCTGCCCCGCCCATCCTATATGCGGGATATGACCCTGGAGCGCCATGGGGGCCCTGTGCCCTACCACCGAAGGCCTGTGCTGGCCCAGGAGTACTTGGACATAGACCAGATGATCTTTGACAGAGAGCTGCCCCAGGCTGCTGGGCTTCTCCACCACTGTTGCTTCTACAAACATCAAGGACAGAATCTGGTGACTATGACTACAGCTCCCCGTGGTCTGCAATCAGGGGACCGGGCCACCTGGTTTGGCCTCTACTACAACATCTCTGGGGCTGGGATATACCTGCACCCTGTGGGCTTGGAGCTGCTGGTAGACCACAAGGCTCTGGACCCTGTCCGCTGGACCATCCAGAAGGTGTTCTACCAAGGCCGCTACTATGACACTCTGGCCCAGCTGGAGGACCAATTTGAGGCTGGCCTGGTGAATGTCATACTGATCCCAGACAATGGCACAGGTGGGTCCTGGTCCCTCAAGTCCCAGGTGCCCCCGGGTCCAGCTCCCCCTCTGCAGTTCTACCCACAGGGTCCCCGTTTCAGTGTCCAGGGGAGTCAAGTGACCTCCTCATTATGGAGTTTCTCCTTTGGCCTCAGGGCTTTCAGTGGCCCAAGGATCTTCGACATCCGTTTCCGGGGAGAACGAATAGCTTACGAGATCAGCCTCCAAGAGGCCTTGGCCATCTATGGTGGAAACTCCCCAGCAGCAATGATGACCAGCTATCTAGATGGCGGCTTTGGCATGGGCAAGTACTCCACACCCCTGACCCGTGGGGTGGACTGCCCCTACCTGGCTAACTACATAGACTGGCACTTCCTTTTGGAGTCCCAGGCCCCCAAGACACTACGTGATGCCTTTTGTGTGTTTGAGCAGAACCAGGGTCTCCCCCTGCGGCGACACCACTCAGATTTCTACTCCCACTACTTTGGGGGACTCATGGAGACAGTGCTGATTGTCAGGTCTGTGTCCACCTTGCTAAACTACGACTATGTGTGGGATATGGTCTTCCACCCCAATGGCGCCATCGAGGTGAAGTTCCATGTCACGGGCTACATCAGCTCAGCATTCCTCTTCGGTGCGGCCCGGAGGTACGGGAACCAAGTTGGGGAGCACACGCTGGGCACCGTCCACACCCACAGCGCCCACTACAAGATTGATCTGGATGTAGCAGGTAAGACATCCTGGCAGACAAGGGTGCCAGAGGAAAGAAGACTTGCCTCTGTTAGCTTTGGGTTTTATGTAGGTATCCAGGACAGGAAGATTTGAACATAAATAAGCAGTTTTGGATTTTCATGCTTCCCCTTTTGCTGGATGAGAGGAAGTTGGCTGTTGAATTTTGTTTGGATCATGGTTCACTGGCTGGGTGCACAGCTGCTGCCTCCTTTCACCTGACCTCATTAGAAAATCTTGGGAAATTGCAAAACTCAAGGAGGAGGCAGGATCTGGGCAAACAAGGGTCCCCTTTGCCCTCCTCCCTCTCTTGCACTTACATGGGCTCCACCTCAAGGAGGTGGCCATTTGTTTTCCAGTATTCTGGCCTATTCTCTGTGTCTGGCCTGTGGAGTCTTTTCATTCTGAGTCCCTGGGTGGTACAAATGGTTCACACACTTGGCTACTAACCAAAACGTTGGTGGTTCAAGGCCACCCAAAGGCACCTTGGTAGAAAGGCTGGCAATCTACCTCTGAAAAATCAGCCATTTGGAACACAACTCTAGTCTGCAACACCTGGGGTCGCCATAAGGCAGAGTCAACTCGATGGCTGCTGGTTGTTTGTTGATGATTTGAGTTCTGCTAGCTCTGGTGGCATAGTGCCTAAGGCATCTGACTGCTAACCAGAAGGCTGGCGGTTCAAACCCACCAGCCACTCCTCAGAAGGAAGACTGGGCAATCTACTTCCATAGAAATACTGCCTTGGACACCTAAGGAGGGGTTGCTGTGAGTTAGAACAACTCAGCAACAGTGAGTATGTTTGTTTATTTGTTTTTATAGCCCCTGCCAGGCCGATCATGGGACAACCCCAGGCTGCACATTTCTGGAAAATGGACCTTCCTCCTCCCTGACCAGGAGCTTTGGTAGCATAGTGCCTAAGGCTTGACTGCTAACCAGAAGGCTGGAGGTTCAAACCCACCAGCTACTCCTGGGAAGGAAGATTGGACAATCTACTTCCATAGTGATACTGCCTTGGAAAACCAAGGAGGGGTTGCTATGAATTGGGTCTGACTCGAGGGCACATAACAACAACAACAACAACACCTCCCTGACCACCTATCTCTCTCCAGGCATAATACATTGAACTTCAAGGGATGGGAGGGATACTAAGGAGCATTTTGTACAGTTCCTGATGCAAGGATAGTTGATGGCAGGATAGTAGAGGGCCACTTTCCCTTCCTCCTCACATTGAGTTGATCATCAGACTTCTCTTCTGCCTCTGAAATATCTCTCAAACCTCCCTGGGGCCCATTGCCACCCTGATTGGTGTCAGCCCTCTCTGCTATGCCGCCTCCTCTCCTCTTCCTCTCAGACCCAGGGTCCATGCTGTATACAGAGGAAGCTCCCAGCTCAGACCAGCCTGCACCCTCCTACAGCCCCCCACCTGCCCCATCACCCCTAGGATTCCATTCGCAGACTGACTGGCAAGGCCCTTCCCTTCACAGTTCAGCTAAACCTGCCCTGCAGATCCTGCCCCCACTCTGCTTTAGCCACACTTGATGCCCTCTGACCCTGGACACCGTGTAAGTGCCGTCAAGCTGCTTTCTGTTTGCCTGTGCCTCACCCCTGCCTAGAATGTGCTTCCACATTGTCTCTGCTGGTGACATCCTTTAACACTGAGCTGGAAAGCTGCTGGGAAGACCTCCTCTCCAGCATTTCCAGCCCACCCTGTATTCACTGAAGCTGCCTTGGCCACTAAGGGGTTTATAGTCCCCCATGGGAATGGAAGGGTGAGGATAAAGTTTCACCTCTGTGTCCCCAGGGCTGAATCTGATCCTGTCCACTAATACATGCTGAAAGGATGAATGAATAGAACGGAATCCCTAAAGAAATATTTGAATGTACCATCCATAGCTTTGGCTGGAGGCTTCTGAATGTCTTGGGGAGAGGGATAGGAAACAGGGAGCTCACTCAGTTCTTTGCTTCTTTTCAACCTCCACTCTGAAGCTGGGTTGGGGTAGAGCGCAGAGGGGCAGAGTGACTACATGACTGTCCCTCCTTTCTCCCCTCCCACTTGCAGGACTGGAAAACTGGGTTTGGGCTGAGGACATGGCCTTTATCCCCACTGCGGTGCCCTGGAGCCCCCAGCACCAGATGCAGAGGATGCAGGTGACCCGGAAGCTGCTGGAGACGGAGGAGCAGGCTGCCTTCCCCCTGGGAGAGGCGACCCCTCGCTACCTCTACCTGGCCAGCAACCACAGCAACAAGTGGGGTCACCCACGGGGCTACCGCATCCAGATTGTCAGCTTTGCAGGGGAGCCAGTGCCCCAGAACAGCTCTAAGGAGAGAGCCTTCAGCTGGGGGAGGTGAATGAGGTGGATGTCTGAGACGGGGCAGGGGAAGATAGTATGGGAAAGCCTGGGGAGGGACAATGGGGAGCTCAATTCAAACTGTATGCTGGGAAAAGAGTTTAAGAAGTATTTCCCATTTATTAAAAGGTACCTCAAAGAGCACATTTTCCCCTTGAAGCCCAGAAGTGAGAATGCTCTTCTCATTTGGACAGGAGAGGGGCCATCTTTCTGTGCAAAAGCAAGGGATGAACAGGTGGACCTTGGCAAGGTGTTCACAGACCGTCACTCACACAGCACTTCTGTGCCATTCAGTCACTGTGTGAATGAGATGGGGAAACTGAGGACCACTTGCTTAGCTCCCTTCCATCACAATCAGGTACAGGACAGGGTTAGTGATCATGGAGGCCTGACTAGTGCCTCCCTAGGTACCAGCTGGCCGTGACGAAGCGGAAGGAGGAGGAGCCCAGTAGCACCAGCATCTACAATCAGAATGACCCTTGGACCCCAACTGTGGACTTCACAGACTTCATCAACAATGAGACCATTGCTGGAGAGGTCAGCTGACCTGGAGGGGCAGAGGGTGGGAGGCAGGGCACACGGATGAGCCCGCCTTCCCTTGGGGGTCCTTGCCAACCATCTGAGCAGGGGTGGATCTGATGATAACCTTCAGAGGAAACCTTCCCAATCTGGGAGTTCATATGCAGACACTGGGTGAGGACCCAGGCCTGTCCTGCAGACCCTAGAGCCTTCTAGGTCCTGGCTTCATGCAAGGCGACCGGCCAGAGACTGACAATATTTTCTGGCTCTAGAATTCATGAAGGGCTGGAAGCCAGCAGGAAAGATCATATCTCTTTTATCTGACCTCCTTCATTCCTGGCTCAACCACTGCTGGGTGCTTCTCTATATGTTGGCCTTTTCCTGCCTCCCAAACCCTGGTCTTCCTACTCCCACTTAGTTTGGGAATTTGAGGAGAGTAGCTGAAGTGGCCTGTGTACCATCCTTCCTGCGATATGTCAGAGAAGGAGGGCACAGGCCAGAGACAGGGGGCCAGGTATTGGTCTCGTTATGAAATTAACCAGTTATACTTCAACTTCTGGGCCAATAGGAAAAAATGTTCAAAGACAGGATTCTTTTGAGGGACAGTAGGCTAGTGAGCTGAATTCTCACAAGGAGGAAGACATGTCCTTAGCAAAGCCAGACCTCTGACCTTCTTTCTTTTCTTCTACTAGGACTTGGTGGCCTGGGTGACAGCTGGCTTCCTACACATCCCACATGCAGAGGACATTCCCAACACAGTGACTGTGGCTAATGGTGTGGGCTTCTTTCTCCGACCCTACAACTTCTTTGATGAAGACCCCTCCTTTGACTCTGCTGACTCCGTCTACTTCCGGGGGGACCAGGGTGCAGAGGCCTGTGAAGTCAACTCCCTCGCTTGCCGCCCACAGACTGCTGCCTGTGCCCCGGACCTCCCTAACTTCTCCCATGGGGGCTTCCTTCACAATAGTTGGTCTCTGGGATGAGAGTCTTGCCAGGGACCCCAGGGGCCAGAGTGTGGGGAGAGGTAGCAGCCAGGCATCTGTCTTTCTGATTTCCTTCCTCACGACCCTGATGTCTCTCCCCTCCCCAGTGTCCTCTCCCCTCCATCACCCCCCCCCCTTGCACCCTTTCCTGCTAGGAGGCATGCAGAACCTGTGACCCTCTGACACAGGGGAGCTTAGCTTTGCAGACCTCAGATGTGCTGAGTTCCCACCGAGAAAGGAAAGGGATGGCCCTGCTGGAGCCTGGAGTGAGGACCAAGCTTTTTCCCACAAGACTTTTTTTTTTCCTTTTTCATCCTGGTTTTCCCACATCTTTTCAGGTCATCTCCAGGTCTCTCCTGGGCTTCTGAAGTCCCTCCCTCGGGAGATGAGGATGGTGGCTCCATGACTGGGGATTGCCCAGAAGGCTCCAGGGTAGGGTTCCTGCTGTCCACAGACGTGCTGCAAGGGTGCCTCTGCCTACTTTCCTGCTCACCCTCTTCCTCTTCTTCCTTCCCCTTCCCATGTCTCACCCTCCTCCTCCTCTTCCCACCTGCTCTTAGATCTTGGGATATCCCTCAAGGTCCTGAGGGCCCTCTGCCCTAACCCATGGTGCTCCCCAGCTCTTTTCTCAATTTCAGTCTTCTCTTCCCTGGGTCTGCGGAAATCTCAAAGATGCAAGGGGTTATTTAGTTTGAGGAGATGTTTCCTGTCCCCCTGTGCCTGTCACCTAGTTCCCACCTGCATCCTGGGGCAGGGTTGTGTTTCCAGACAGTTCCCTCTACTCACCTGTGTCTGTCTGGCTTGACCAAGTGGAGCAGTGGTTAAGTGCTCGGCTGCTGAACCAAAGGTTGGCTGTTCGAACACACCCACTGCTCTGGGGAAGAATGATGTGGCAGTCCTCTTCTCTAATTACAGCCTTGGAAACTCATATGGGGCAGTTCTACCCTGTCCTATAGGGTGGCTATGAATTGGAATCAACTTGACAGCAATAGATTTGGGGTTTTGGGTTTTTTTCTTTTTTGGCCTTTTGCTCTCTGGAGAGGGTGTTCATAGTGAAAGCAGCGGTTCAAGTTAGCATTCTAGGTGGCTTTGTGGGTTGTGTGTGACCAGTGTCCTCTATTCTGCAGCAGCCCCTGTGGGAGAATGAGGTGGGCACCAGGTGGGAAGCAGAAAACCCCTGGACCAAACACGTGCAGGCATGCAAATGAATGGCCTCTGGTGGGAAGGGGCTCTTTTGGTGGGGACACAGCCTCCAAGCCTCCCCCCACTCACTGCTTTCCCTGCTGGGGTGTGGATTGGAGATGGGGACAAACAGCAAGAGACTGGGAACAACAGAATCATCCTTCCGTAGGAGATTTGGTTAAATAAACTCTGATACAGCCTTATGATGCAATGCTTTACAGCTATTTAAAAAAATGTATCTTTTTATATACTAATAGAGAATAATCGTCAAATGAAAAAGGCAAGTGCAGAAGTGGTTAGAGCACTTCCCATTTGTCTTTTAGAAAGGAGATTATAAATGCATACTTGCTTATAGATGCATATTCAGAAGAAACTGTTGCCCTGCTTGCCTCTGGGGAGGGAACCCGGAGGGAGGGAATAAGAGGGAGGGGCCTTTGCACTGTAACCCTTTTGTACATTTTAAATTTTGAACTATGTGACTATATTATCTATTCCAAATAAATAATAAGTGGGTCCAAACAGGAGCTGACATGTTTTTAAGGAAGGGGTGAGTGCTGGGAGAGAGAGGGTTAGGTGGCTTAAGGGATGTGTTCAGGGACTGGATTTTCTCAAGTTCTTGAGAGCCAGCGAAGCAGGTGTGGCTTCTGATAACCGCTTTGCCCTCTCTTGTTTGTATATTTCTCAGAAAAATGTTAAGCCTCTGTCAGTGTCTGTCTGTTGGTCTCTCTCTTAGAAGAGGGGGCAGGGAGAAATGACAGGAGATGGGGTGACTTCTGTCTGCTGGAAGCCCAGGCCAGGGCAGCAGGTGAAGTGCAGGAAACAGAGGTTTGGGATCCTGCTTAGCTTCTGACCAGAGGGAGATTATATCCCTGGATCTGAGACATCAGCTTCTGTTGTGCCCCACCCAGGCTCACCTGGGATCAATGGAACGCCAATGGGACGAGTCAGTGAGCTGGAGAGAAATTAGGTTCCAAAGAACAGAGCCGAAGACTTCAGCAAGGAGCACAGGCCAGCGATTGCTGGATTGATTTGTAATAAAGCCTGGGTGGAAGCATACAGTTTGCTCTTGGCTGCTAACCTAAAGGTTGGAGGTTTGAATCCACCCAGTGGCACCATGGAAGAAAGGCCAGATGATCTGCTTCTGTAAAGATAACAGCCAAGGACACCTCATGGGGCGATTCTACTCTGTAAAATGTAGGGTTGCCATGAGCAGAAATCAACTCTGCCAGCAATGAGTTTAGTTTTTTTTTTAAATCCTTTTACAACTTCAAAGAACAAGGGAGAAGAGACCTTGTTGCATTTCTGGTTGCACAAACATTTCTGGATAACTGACCCTTTTGGTATTGATTTACCTGGTTTAACTCTCCCAGGTTTCCAAGGATCTCACTATCTTTCTGCAGTTACTACCATGCCTAAAACCCACACCACAGGAGACTTTACACCCTTACCTCTACTTGCCCTCTCCATATCCCTACCTCACACCAAATATGCTGATCTTTTGGCTGTGCCTGCTCAGGCCAAGTTCTTTCAAGCTTCCATAGTTTTGCACCTTTGTACCCTTCAACTACAATGTCCTTCCTCTTCTCTGCCAGGCTGTGTTCTGTCTTCAAGAGTGGCTCAAAGTTTTTTCCTGGGGAAGTCTTCCTGGACATGTCCAGGCTCATGAGGGAAGCACATCCACCAGAGCTCCCCTCTGGAAACTGAGTCTCTCCCAATTCCCCTTGGGTCCTGGCTGCGCAGAAAACAGTAGCCTCCTGTCACTGGCAGAGTAGCTGCCCAGTCATCAACAGTGAGAAATGGAGGTGACTTTGCTCTCTGCCTCTACAACATCTTGGAAGAGGTTTTCCTGGAGTTGAGAGTTGACATCAACCCCACAGCCAGTTTCCCAGCCCCAGCTGATCTCTGACCTGGCCTATGAGTCCTACTCAAGGGGGAGACACTCTGCCTTACTGCTGCTACAGTGAAATGGTCAGCTTCTGACTTGCTCTACACGCTGCATCCTCCCTACACGTGATGCAGGACACTTAGGGCCTCTCCAGTGTGATCTGGCTCAGCCCTCAAGCCCCCAACCCCTCTCCAGGTGCCTTTTGTTCTAACTTTCAAGCTTCCCTTGGGCTGATAGTGATGGGTAGGATTCTGGTTGATGGGGGGGTGGGCAAGCAGGAGACTGATGGGGAGCAGAGCCTGGAGGGGTAGCAGGTCAGAAGGAGGAGGGAAGCTGCTGAAGTGTGTAGTGGATGGTTTTCGCCTGCAGCTTTGCAGCCAGGGGGAGTCCACCTAGAGGGTAGAGGAGGAAGAGCCCAAGGAGGACAGTCCCTTTCTGCACTTACCTTCTTCTTCCTCTCACCTGTGTCAGCTGTGTTATCTCCAAAGCCACCCCTCCCCAGTCTGTTCCCTAACCCTGACCCAGAGTGTGTTGTTTGATTTGGAACAGGAGGACAGAGGCTAACTTAGAGTTCAGTTCCTACCTCAGCTCCACCTCCTTAGGCCTGATCCCTGACCCTCTCCAGCCCCACCCCACTCCCCTCTGCCCTTGGCCGATTGCCTTCAACATTACCCAACATCCCTCTTGTCTGGCTGCACCATCCAGAGACTAGGACCCTCCAACCAGAGAGAGGCACCAAGGTCCTGTCTGTTCATCTTTTTATCTCCCATTCCACATTCAGAATCAAGAAGCTGAAGACTGGCCAGGAGCCTCTAGCTATGGTGGTCTTAATTATTTTGACCCTGTTTAGTGTTCTGAGGAGCTCTGGTGGCATAGTGGACTAGGCATTTGGCTGCTAACCAGGTCAGCAGTTCAAACCAGCCACTCCATGGAAGGAAGGTGGAGCAACCTACTTCCATAAAGATTTATAGCTTTGGAAACCCAATGGGGATTGCTATGAGTTGGAATTGACTCAATGGCAGTGATTTTTTTTTTTTTTTTAAGTGTTCTGGTTATAGGCATGGGTGGAGGTGGGATTGGGAGTAAGGATGGGGGAGAGAGGAGATGTAAACTGGCCTGCAACCTGCTGCACCTCCATACTCTCCAGTGTCCAAGCCTGGCCAGAGCTAATTGCTTGCAGATCTGAGCTGAGAGGAACTGACTGCTATGCTGAGCTTTCTGACCCAGCAGCTGGGACCTGGCCTCAAACAACTGTGTCTTCTCAGTGGAGCTTCGGCTGCCATCTGAGGGTGACAGAGGTAGCCCCTTACCTGCCCTGGAGGCCCTGGCCATCATCTTGTTTTCTGGATAAGCCCAGCTCAGTGTGAATGAGATGGTCATGGGGTTGTTGCCCCATCTATCCTATGTGTGGGATGACTGTGGAGTGCCATGAAGGTCCCTGTCCTACCACTGATGGCTTGTGTTAGCCAGATGATCTTTGACAGAGAGCTGCCTCAGGCTGCTGGAGTCCTCTACCACTATTGCTTCTACAAATGCAAAGGACAGAGCTTGGTGACAATGAGCATAGCTGCTTGTGGTCTGCTCCTGGTTTGGCCTCTACTACATCTCAGGGGCTGGAAGTACATGTACCCTATGGACTTGGAGCTGCTGGTAGACTACAGGGCTCTGGCCCATCTAGAAGGTGTTCTACTAAGGCCACTACTATGACCATCTAGCCCATCTGGAAGATCATTTTGAGGCTGGCCTGGTGAATGCAGTACAATGGTACAGTTGGATCCTGGTCCCTCAAGTCCCAGCTCTCCCTGAGTCTGGTTTCCCCTTTGCAGTTCCACCCACAGGGTCCCCACTTCAGTGTCCAGGGGAGTTGAGTGACCTCCTCATTGTGAATGTTCTTCTTTGGCCTCAGAGTTTTCAGCAGCCCAAGGATCTTTAACGTTCACTTCTTGGGGGAGGGGGTTTCCTATGAAGTCAGTGGCCAGAAAGCCTTG